TGATGGGAGTGAGAATCTCCCAGCACCCAGCTTTGTTATTCCCCTCCGTGTAGAAATAAATGAACTTCTCACTGAACAGACAGCTTTGCCTGGGAAGTTTAAATGCACAATGGACTCCATCAAAGAGTAAGAATCCCTTCTACTCATTTAATTCTTTACTTTCTAAACTTGTAATTTTCTTTTCTTTAATACATTAGCTATTTCTATATTACAAGTGCACTTCTATTTCTTTCACTTTCGACCGTTCTAATTTGACATTCTGGATTTAATATAACTAGATAGGTTTTTTATCAAAAAGCAATGCCCTCAGCACCTGTGACATTTCCAGACAGTTCACTACTAACAGTAAGATTGCAAAGTTGAGTAAGACAGGGACTTGGCTTTGAGAAGTTCAGAGTTTATCGGAGAAGACAGACTAGTCAAAAGTAATTAACCTTTAATAGCCTAGGACCTACAGGATAGGTACGAAAGTCTAGAAGAACATAAAGAAATGAAATTAGTTTGGGATGACTTGCAACTTGATGAATAAAATGAATGACAAAATAGGTTACTTGACTCTCATTTACTTCTACTCCTACTTCTAGGTCATCAATTGGCTTAATTAATGAGTACCACTAACAACCTTGTGTACCAGACATCATTCTTAATGCTTATGTGTATAAAAATCTCTCAGCACTAGCCCTCTACATATGCACTGAAACTGTACTGTTCTACAGATGAAGAAACCAAGAAGAGGAACATTTAAGCAGCCCCTCAAGGTTAAACTGTTACGAGCTGCAGACCTAGGGCTCACACTTTGCAGACTGGCTCAGAAGTTTCAGTTCCTAACTATTCTGTCATGATGTCTCCTAGGTCAGAAAGCAAGTTTTCTACATTCTGAATTTGCTCCTATTATTTCACAGCATCTTTTGAGAGAAATTTGAACAAATCTTAGAAACTCAAATGCTCTCTAAAACACTTCTCTGTGTCACCCTCATGGTGCTGAATTTCAGTCTGTACAGTTTATTCAGTTGATACCCCATGCTCCAAGAATAAGACATGCTTGTGACATTCTACAGAGCCAGTAAAATAGCATTGCCTTTGTGAATGAAGATTTGTTAACTGGGTAAAACAAAAAGGACGTCGTATACAGAGTATTCCCTTACCTTGACCCAAGTATCATAGGGCAACTGATTCTAGTGTGCTCCAGGCATAATTTGTCTAAGATTGTTCCCAAAACTCCATGAAATATATCCCTGAATACCATTAAAATAAGGAATATTTGCAACTTTAAAATAACTTTTTCAATGTAATTGATGAGATTGTTGTAGGAAAAATAATAGCTTTACTATGATATTCATGAAAATAGCCTATATTTGCTCATTTATTTGTATAGTAAACATTTTTCCAGTTTGTATCTTTCTATAAACATTTTATATGCTAAATACAGAATGTTAAGGAACCAATTAAGATATGATCTTATATAAGAGTGCAAAATTCCCGGGGAGCAAAATCTACTATAAGCGAACTCAAAAGAAAACCAACAAATTAAGAAAATTTACTATTATTATTTGAGTCACAGCTATGATTTGGGTCTGCAATGTCCTGTGAAGGCCCATCCATTGAAGGCTCTGTCCTGTGGGTGGCGCTATAGCGAGGAGGTGGAACTTTTAAAAAGTGGGGCCTATGGAGCAGTCTTCCAGCCAGCGGGCTCTGTGGGATTCCAGTCTCTTCCTCTTTCTCTCTTTTGCTTCCTGCTTCGCTCAGCCCCAAACTCTGCCATGTTCTGCCTCCCTTTTGCCCGGAAGCAATGAGGCCCCAAAATCATGGACTGAAACCTTTAAAACTGTGAGCCAAAGTAAATCTTTTTTCTTTATAAGTTGGTTTTCTCAGGTATTTGTTATAGCTAGGGAACAGTGACTATAATATACCTATAAACTGCTAAAGGCTAATTTTCATGATATATAAAATGGCTCTGTCAATCCCCTAGAAAGTTATGAAATGCAGTAAAAATGATGGTGATTTGAAAAAGGAATTCACTGAAAACAAAATAAATATTGAGAAATATGTTCTGTCTCGTAATGAAAAAATGAAAAATATAAACAAGATCCCATTGTCCTCTGGAAGACAGATAAAAGCATTAATTTTCTTTGTACTTCCCACAATTAACAAGAAGAGGGAAACAAACAGGCACTTCTGTACCTTGTTAATGGTATTATAAAATTATGCAACAGGGAGACTATGGCTTGTGTGGCATTTCTTCTTGCTCAGTCAGGGTAGTGGAGCAGAGTTACAAAGGAACCACACATCTTGGAGAAAAAAGGTCTCCCCCTGTATGTTCTACCACATTTCTCTGAGACAGGCAGTGCCACTATTCCCTTAAACAAACTCTCCGCATCGAATGATGTATGTAGGATGCTTTCGCTAAGAGATGAGCATGACCTCCTCATATTCTCCTTCGTGCATTTTCTCATCCTATCTTTATGGGCTATAATCTTCCTCAAGTTCTTCCTTCTCCACTTTCTATATTATGGCAAAGTGTCCTTCTTCTTTTGACCTCAGAACAGCCAAACTTAGATTCAGCCAGACATTCTTATAAGCCTCTAGCTTTTGTTTCACATATTATATTTTCCCAACTGAAGGCTAAAAAGAAAAACAATGGAGTATGGTAGTTGGCATAATCATCCTATACCACTTCTTTACTCTTGTGGTTCTTTCTGTAGTACAATGGACCCTAGATGTTGCATAAATATCTTGCTTTGGCTGAACAATAGTTGGAGGTTCCCTCAATGGAAAGAATGAAGAAGACAGTAAAGCGGGGGATGAGATTTCCTTAAGATCAGAACTGAAGTTCATGTCACTAGCCATTTTGACAAGGGTTTGCCCTCTACTCATTGCAGGGTGTTTCTTTTGTCAATCAACTCAAATCTCAAGGTCATTCCTTTTCCGAAGACTTCACTACCAAATTCACAGATTCCTTCTCAATACATCCAGCAGTCATCACCCTTGAGAACTTCAACGTCCCTGCTAACCACTCCCCAAAGCTCACCTCTCAAAGAGCGTGTTTACATGCTTAACCCCAGGACTATTATTTTTTGTTTTGTTTTATTTTGGTTTTTTTGGTTTTTTGGTACCAGGGATAGAACTCGGGACTTTGCACTTGCAAGGCAGGAGCCAGAACCACTGAGCTAAATCCCCGGCCCCCACCCCAGGATTATTATTAATTCATTCTCCATTTTATTCTTTTATCATACCAACTTGTTTCATTAACCAAGGGATAGCACGTTAGTTGTTATACACTAATGGTTAACAACACTTAGTCTAGAGTTAGCCAGGCTTGCTGACAGCTTCCCCTGGGAACTTCCTGGCTAGGTAATGCTGAACAGGCTAGGTAATGCTGAACAAGCTAGGTAACTTCTGAGAGCTAATCCTCCACAGCATTTCTGCACATCGTGTACCAAGTTTTGTTTTTCAGTTCATTTTGATTGACTGACTGATTGATCAATTGATTGATTGTGCTGGAGATTAAACCCAGGGCCTCAGCCATGCTAGACAAGTGCTCTACCACTAAGCCTTTATTCTGCACTTATTTTTAAGGATATTAGTATAGTTGGCAGCTTTGGGAAATACAGTGGTTCCCTCACTTGAATAGAGAGCATACCCATTTCCTGACGAAGATGACAGGGATCGTGTATCCTTCCACGGTACATGTTCCTGTTAGCAAGTCCCTTATGGGACTGAGGGTCTCTAAAGCTTAGGGTTCTTCACCAATGAGACAAGCAGATCATCTGAAGCATTTGCCACTCTCACTCCAGTGGAACTGGAAGGTCAAGGGAATATGAAGCTCATACCACCTGCTCATCCCTGAGTAATAAATCACATGTTTCTGACCCAGGAGTTTTGTGTCTTCTGCTAGCATCTTTCACTCTGTATGGCAGGCTAACTTGTTAGCTTGCAAGAAAAGCAAAACTCTTAAAATCTTCATACTCTGGGTAATAACCTCTGTAGGCCTCAGTTTCCCTACATGTCAAATGAAGAGAAGGCAAGTACCCCACAAGAATGAGTTGGTACATCTGCAGCACAGAAGACCAGTTCACCTCATGGCTGCACACTTTCCACAGAGCCCATACTGGCGACCCCATCTCGAGGCCCCATCTGGACCAGTCACTCCACACCGCTACCACCAGAGGACACCCTCCTTTTCATCAAATCTCAGCTCCCAGGCTGTGGCTCTGTAAACACTAGTTTTCTCCCTGTATTTCTGTCCCTCTCTGCTTCCTTCCTTGTAGTCACACACACAGAAAGAAACTAACCAAAGGAGAGTATTTTGCAGACGTCATAAAATATCCTACATTTCTAGAAGATATTGACACAACCCCGTTTTTCAAAACTGGGGGAAGTGAAACACAGTAATAAGAATGAAGAGGTAGAGAGAGTCATGAGATCTTTATAAGATGAAGAAAAGAGTTATAAGAAAAGTAAAAAATGTCAACAATCGCTTAACTACGTAGATGGTCAACATGTATTGTTCCCCTTAATGGCAACTTTGCCAAAAAAAAAAAAACCAGAGAAACAAAAACAAAGGAAATGTGCCTCTAAGCTACGTGGCTGAATAAATGACCCCTAAAACACAGTGGAAGTGTTGGAAAGGAGACCAAGTTTCACAATCAGCAGGTCCCAGGGAATCCCAGCTCCAGCTTCCAGCATTTGTGAGAACTTAACCTCACCAAGCCTGAGTTTATTCACCTCCCAAACAGGGTAAGACAGTCCTTCACAGATCAATAAATTACTAAACTACTGCAGGATGACCAGAAAATCACTCCTTCAGACTAGAAAAGACTCAGGGATGTTTATGGTCACTTCCTTTACAAAGCTAAGATTTTGTAACATGCACACAACAGTTGCCAAATCCAGCATTATAGAATTTGAACTCTGATTTCATTTCCGTGCTGAAAATGCCTTAGATTCAGACTTACCTAATTCAGTCTCATATAAATACTTACTTGACTTGATCAACATACCTGTAGCAAAAAATCAAAGAGCGCCATCTTGGACCACTCATGGTGGTGGATTTCCGTGCAGCCCCACTCAGGTCTGGGCACCCGGCCATGCAGCCAGCACTTCTGTCTCAGTGAGTGCTGATAGGCTCCCCAGGTGAGCTGAACCGATGAATGGGTGTCTTTACTTGCTGGAGCGAGAGAGGAGTCCCAGAGAACGAGGGGATGTGGGCGGCCATCTGTGGGATCAGAACAAGCTCACTCTCAGTGTGCTGTGCATGGACCAGATGTGCTGTCAGGTAAGTCACACTCTTTCTACCTTGTCACCTGTTCGATGCCAGAGACGGATCAGACCCGATTACAGGGTCCCTCTCTCTTCTGAAGCTTGAATATCTTTAAACCTCGGTGATGCTTCCCATTATCAGTCTTACAAAGTAGAAAGTTATTGCTAGACCATGCAAAAGTTTTTAAACAAGCGACTTCATAGACGTGGCAGCAATAGGCTACTCACCACCAATAACAACGTCCTCTGGATAGAGTGGTTTTATTCCACATCTAAAAGCAGTCACCACAAAAAAGAAAAGGACTCAGACATTTATAATTGTCTATTTCATGTCTGAGTGGAGCTGCTCTATTTGTAATAACAACTGTCTGATTTTCTGAGGCCACATTAAGATGCCAGGAAGAAAGAGGATTCTTAGGAATTACAAATTTCAAAGTAAAATTGCACACTTTACACTGATCACTGCAATCTCCAAAGAAAGAAAAACAAGGATTTTTTTATTTTTTATAGAAACTGTGCATGCCCAGCAGTACTCTTGGAAACGGATCATTTATCCACACACAAAATCGCCAAGCATATTTAGCCAGGTGTCATTTCTCCACTTGCATGTGCACGGATGGTTGTCACTCAGATTGTCTGTGTCTCGCTCACTCCTGATAAGTTAGAAATGCAACTTCTTTCATTGTTAAACTCAATAAAAATGATAAGCCTAAGTGAAGTCATCTTAAAAACAGGAAAGACCAGATAAGGAACACTGAACAGCACTTCGGGCTGGCACATCATTTACTTCTGCCAAATAAAGTTACAGAAAGATGAGGGCAAGGAGCTTATTACAATTTAAAAGTGAGTACAATGCTCTAGGGGAAAAAGGTGCACTAATCTCCGTCCTTACAGGCCTGAACAGTGGCGGTCACTGAAATTATGGCTGGAATGTCCAGACATGTCTCAAGCATTTTAAAAATCCCTTTTAAATAGCCTCAAATATTCTCAATCTTTAACTTTCTTCAGTTTGCTATCAACTTTTATTTCACCGCCTTTATTACTTGCTTCCTTGTGGAGTTCTTCTCTGTAGAAAAGTCATCTTCTTAAACATTTTTGAAGGTGATAGTACCCTCACTTCAATAATCTTAACAGCATTCAGTTAATTATTTTAATTGCTGAGTTTCAGTTTTGTTCAAAAGAAAAACTGCTCTCTCTTTCGCCTGGGAAGTTAGGTCAGGGCATGTAGAGAGTCCTTCGCATCATACAAAATATGCCACAGTCACTGACTGGCAATGAGGAGAGAAAAGAGAGGAGGAAACATGAGCCATCACTGGAGAATTTTGCTGTGACATTATCTCTTTTCTTTCTGTTGTCTTTCACTTTATTAAATGATTCCGGGCAGTGGAGACCTAATTATTTCCTTGGATATACGATCGTGTTGAACATTTATGCCTAAAATACTGTGCCAGTTAAATAAAGAGGGAATAAATTTCAGGTAAAGTCAGCCCATCCCAGGCAGAAGACAGGTTTGGGCAAGTGTGACCAGATAGGAACAGGAACATGCCTCAGCTTTCAAAGGCATGCGCACCTCCCACATGTGAAGATGTCCAGGAAGCTCAGTGCATCTGAGTCTGCTCCACAGTCGTACACCGAGAGCACTTTGTGTGCCCAGGGAAAGGGAACACAAAGGGAGCTGAAAGCTAAAACTGAACTTCAACTACACAAATCATTACTCCAGACAGACAAGACAGCAGCTTCCAGACCAGTTCACACAGAGCTCTCTGAGAACAAAGAACCGCTCTACAGAAACAATCAGAAACCTCTGGCCTCTCTGTACTTTTTACTGTAAAAGTAAATCCCGTTTTTAGGAAACGTGGAATAAAATGTATAGCTAAGAAAACTAAACTCAGCTATAACCCATAATTTCTCCTGTTGCTTACATATTTACCTCCATTGTATTTTGCATCACTGTCATTCTCACTGGAATATATAAATGGATTTCCAGAATTTAAGAAATTAAAGTAAGAGTGCTGTATAGCTTGTGGTTAAAGCTCGGACTCTTGAATCCCTGATCTTTTGAAAACTAGTCACGTTACTTCTTAGGTTTGTGATGGCAGACCAGTCTACAAGCCCTCCAAATCTTGCTTTCCTCTGTCGTACAATGTAGTCGATAGTGCATCTTCATAAACTTTGTTAGTACTGAATGACCTTATGCACTGAAAACGTACTCTACACATTTTTATCATTTCTTCATAGTGAAAATATTCAGAATCTTTTCTAGTTTTTTGAAATATATGGTACATAATTGTTAGCTATAGTCGCCTACCGTATAATGGCAGATGTGGTAGATTGTTTAATGTGATTTAAGTATTACACAATATATACATGTACTAAAACATCACACAGTACTCCATTAATGTGTCAAATTTTCGTGTTTGACTTATCAGTTAAAGACAGGAAAAAATATAAACATAACTCTCAACTTGGTGTCTAACATAAATGCATTCCCCAGAAATGTTTCCTAATGACTATATAATACATATATAAGGCAATCTCATAATTCATTAGTCTGCAACGGACCATTATTGTTTATTAAGCAATTACTTAATGCCAAGCACTATTCTAGAGCCTCACGATAAATACATAAATAAATAAATGTCAAGTAATTTGCTTTCATGGAACTTACATTTCTACTAGGGAAAATAAAAATTAAGCAAAAAAATAAAAATATTTTGGGATCATCTTGTATTTATACATCATAACCACTTCACTAAGTATTGTATCATAAATATTTATCTGATGATTAAGTATTTTAAGTAGCACCACTGTGATTTTGAGGCAGTCATCTAGCCAATCTAAAAAGGACACTATTTTAGGCTTTGAGGACCATGAAGTTTCCATTTGCAGCTATTCCACTCTACCCCTGCTCAGCTTCATGTCACTATGGCACAAAAGCAGTCATAGATCAATAGGAGGAATTGATCAGGACTACTACAACACAATTTTACTATGAACACTGAGGATGGAATTTCATATGATTTTCAAGTGATTTTCATGCTAGTATTATCCTTTTGATTTTTTTCAACCATTTAAAATTGTGAAAACATTACTAGTTTACAAAATAAAAATAGGGGTCGGGCCATCTTGACTAGTTTTGAGCCTCTCAGCTTATTGGATTTCATTTCCCATTTCTCTACTTTAAAATATCAATTCTCTTCTTATATTTTCAGTGCTAGGAATGGGATCCAGGGTCTTTCACCTGCCAGGAAGTGCTCTACCACTGAGCTACACCCCCAGCCCTCATAAAATTCCGGGAGTGATACGTTCTCTCTTTTAGCAATTTTAAAAAGTTACCCTCAAACTGCCAAAAATGGTGTTCATCAGCTGGGAATCACTGGTCTTCGATTAATAGCCTGTGTTTTTCTCCATAGCCATCCACATGCCCCCAGAAAAATGTTCTAAATGCTGACTCCCACAGAGAGACATTCTTCACACCCCTGACAGAAGTTCCCACACCTCAGCCAAGCGTCCGGGGAACAGAGAGAGTGGGGAAGCAGAGCTGGCTTAGTACTCAGCCCGAGGGCGGTGCCGAGTCATCGTGGCAGGCAGAGCTGCCCGGCTCAGAGCAGGGATGCTACTGCCCCAAGAATTCCACTTCCTCTAAAAGAACTAAATGAACTCTGATCAATCTGAAGTGATGACAGAAAAATAGCCTCTGAAAACAGGCACCCGGTTAAAGCAACTTCCTCTGAAGTGTTTCGGGCCGAGACGCATCCATCTCTTCATATTCGTGTTTGTCAAGATGATGCAGCACTGTGCTCTCCAGAGAGATTTCAACAGCAGAGAGATAAAATTCTAACTGTCAGAGAAGTAAGAAAGCAGGTTTTAAAAGATACGTGGGTGTTCCCGAGAATTAAAGGTTACACAGCTGTCTTAAAAATTGAAGCTTGCCAGGGAAACTTTTTTCTGGGCTCTGAATATCTCCCCTGAATGTTGAGTGTTCTCCCGAGCAGTTTATTATTCACAAGCAAAAAGACATTCTTCTGAAAAGAGGAACATGGAAATTAACCAGGAATGAATGCTTCACACGGTCTCCTTTGTCCGGGTTGTGAAACACGCTTCACTCTGAACACTGGCTGATGGGTTTTTGCTGAGCCGCAGGTGAAGGCTGAGCACATTCGGTGAGGTTGTGAACCTGTCTGCATCTGTCCCTGAGCTGAAGTAACTAAAAATGTCCTGAGCTCAGAAGCCCACGTCCTTTCTATCACACGGGCCAAGTTCCAAGAATCTTTGTGAACAAGACAAAAGGGAAGTGACAGTCCAGCTCAGAGGCCTTCATCAGGGAGGATGCTCAGGACCCACTATACAAAACCAAAGTAGAAACTGTGAGCATCCCTGTGGTAGGAATCAGATGGTGCTGGGCTCCATCACAACTGCCAACATTGTGAGGATGGACACCTTAATGCTGTGCCTGCTCCCAGTGTACAAGGTACTCACTGATACAGATACAACCCAGTGATACTGCAGCATGAGTCTTGGTGCTGGTCATCAAGTACCACTGGCTCTGTCTTTTTACAGCACTTATCACCAGAGGATTTGCACAGTTAAGAAATATTAGACTGAAGTGAAAAAGCAGATGCTCTCTCTTGGCTTGAAATTGGTGAACGTGAGCCAGTTAGCAAGCATGAGGGAGGTCAGACCAGGAATGCGAGACTTGTGACAGCTGTGAAGGAGGAGTGAGTCTGAAGGATGAGAGGAAATTTTGCAGATGCTCAGGATTGGGGGTGTTGTTAATTCATTTATTCATTAAACATATTTATAGGTGCCCCATGCTCACCGAAACATTATTCACAATTTCCAGGCTGTGGAAGGAAGCGAGGTGACCATCATCAGATGAATGGGTAAAGAAAAAGTATATAAATTCAGCCATTAAAAATGGGCTGGGGATTTAGCTCAGTGGTTTCGCTGCCTGCT